GAGCAATTCGGCACTTAGTTGGGTGATTTATGTTATAAACCAGCTCGGTCATTCGCTTGCTTAAATCATCAAACTTGAAGGGGAAGACTGCAGATTTACGTAATAAAACAACTTGGAGAGGGTGTTGCTACCATCTTTCTTTGCTCTGGTTGACCCTCTAATCCATCAGAACTATAGTTAGCATCATCATGATTAGATGGGGTTGCATGAATTCAGTCTTTTAGACTTGAAAATTTTTCAAAGTTTTAAAAAAATTTCTATATATAGAGGTCATTTTTTTGATTAATAAATATACATACTGAGGTCATTTAAAAAGACTTATACACACCTAGGCCATTTTTCAATTTCTTAGGATTGATACCTTAATGAAATTTCCTCTCGGTGGATAAGTTGTGCATTCCTTGTTGGAGTTTGTCTTTACTTTCACATTATAACCTCGTTAACAATCATATATTCTATTTTTAAGTGCTTGTGACTATAATTTGGTAAGTGTAATTACGCTTATATTTTTAATCTGATATTTTTAAGTGTATTTTTCAGGATTTTCTTGTTTAGTTTTCGTTGGAATTACGCGATATGATCGTGCTGCAAATTTGTATAGATTCTGCGTTGTATTACATGTTTTTCTGTTCCATGATGCCATCTCAGATTAATATCAGCTGATTGATTTCTTGATCCTATACATCTCAAGCACATTTGATTCTGTTTTAACAGATCCATATTTGCTGCGGACATTTTTCGTACTTCTCATGCAAAATGAATCGTTAGTTTTATGCTTTTGTTGTTCTTATAACAACAAGTCACATAACCATATTTTTAAGGTGCTTTTCAATCAACCTTTAATTGGATCTGATCTTTAATCTTGTAAAACTCCAGATCATATACTGCACCAGTCTCAACTGGAGTGCTGATGGAAGCACATTGTTCAGTGGTTACACCGATGGTGTCATCAGAGTTTGGGGCATTGGTCGCTACTAGAAAGCACGTCTAGCCTAGCAGTCAAAGATGCCTTTTTTTTTTTCTTTTTAGTAAATGTTTAGGTTCATCCTTAAAATGCTTGGAAAGATATTTGAATTCTGTGTGTGTTTATTGGTTTTGAGGGTCTTCTGTTTCAATTTTGGATTATCTTTGTTAATTCGATGTTTTACTGAGTTTTAATCCAGTTTTCAATTTTTCATATCCCCTACTTGTACATTCCTTCTTTAATTCCCTATTGATAGCAGATCGCTACTAAGTTTTCGAAAACTGTTGGGGCCTCTTTTGGGGCATTCTAAAAGGGCGCTCAAGTTAAAATTGGTTCGTTCTACACCTATATGGATTATGTTTTAGTACTTTTAATGCACACGATGTTTTTCGAACAATGATTATGTGATTAATTCGTTGTGCATTTCCACTGGTAACAATTTCATTTTAGATGTGAAAATAGACAATTAACAAAAAGTTAAATCAAATTTGAATGTTTATTTCTTGTGTGAGGTTCGTAACAACTATATTTTTTATTTTCATTCTTCCAAAAATGAGAAATAAACGGGGTCTAAATTTTTTAATTGTATGGAAGTTTTTTAGTCTTTATATATTATAACATGGGGAATTTTTATAAATGTCACTAAATTTGAAAATGTGAAAAAAAAATTTATTTGCACTAAATTTGATCAAAAATATCATTTTTTGGATGTAAAAGGTCCATATTACCCTTGGTGACCCTTTAGAAGCATTTAATGCTTGATTTGAAAGTCATTAATGTTGCGGTGTCATGATTTTTTTTTCTTATGGCCTTGTTGGAGCCTCATTTTTTGGAAGAAAATGAATTTTTGAATAGTGTATTGATGGAAAATGTGTAGTTAAAAAATAAGTAAAAGTTTTAAATTTGCGTGTAATATTATTTTATTGAAAAATGTGTGCTCGAAATGATATCAAAATATTGTTTAAGAATGTTTGTATATATATATATATATAACTTCTTACCATTCACAAACCCTAAATTCTTATCCATCTTTATCGTTTCATCATCAAGAAAACATTATTATTAGATTCATCATTCATTTTTCAGAGGTTAGTTATTAGAAGTTATTTATGTTTTCATCTTATAGCTTACTATTTTAAATGTTAAATGGAACATAATTATATCTATTTGAAATTTTTGAAACTCTTATTCATTGAGTTGTTTGATTCTTGATATATTTTTTAGGGAAAGAGATATCAACATCATTTAGAAAATGTTAAGGATTTCATAATTAAATAACTATTAAGTTATTCCTTATTTATTTTTGGGAAGATGTTATGATGTTGTTGTTGATAATTGATTATCACCATTAATGTTTTGAATAATTTCTTCAAGGTACCAAATGCATGTTTTCAAGCTTCTCGACAATTTCGACAGTTCAACTATCGAATTCGACACTTTTAAACCGCCATATTAGACATCTTAATTGTCGAACTTGGCATTTAGAAACTGTCGGGATAAATAATTTAACTGTTGGGATTCAACCATTCATTTCACCTCCTGTTATTGAATTGATTTAAATATTCAGAAGTGTGACTTTCATGCTATTAAATGTCGATATATTGATTGTGCAAAGTTCTTACCATTGTAATCTCTAGTAATCATTTGAAATTCATCGTGTCACACGGAAAAAAGTTTGTTCATGTAGATGACGAATGGAAGTAGAGAATAGACAAAACCACTTTCGTTTTGATTTCGACAAGTATTACTCTATGCACTCGTTATGGTAGAGTTGACCATAATCGAATCACGTGTTCTAACCCCATTCTAACACGACTCATGCAAATAGGTTTAATATCTAAAAGTAGTTGAAGTTGTATTCTGAATATTCCCCTAATAGTATTGTACATTCTGAAATTATATTATCATTTTATTACTGTTTGCAGACATTAGTCGTGTTTAAGTTCACAAGCAAAATTACATAGATAAAAATTGCATACCATTCGACGGAAGGATTCTATCATTCTCAAAAAGATGGTTGCAAAATAGAAAATTTGACTACATAAAAAAAAAAATGTATAAGGGACGTGTTGTTCACAAACACATTGTCAACTTACATTATTAGTAGCATTTTATTATCATTTACAAACATTGCATAACATCCTGACAGTTAAATTATCAGTTTTAACAGAAGGTTTCTGTCATTATGGACAGTTGATTGCGAGCAGAAAATGTAACTATAAATAAGATGCATAAGGAATAAGTTGTTGCAGAATATCTGGTAAAGATGTTACTATATTTATCCCTGACAAAACTATAATATATAACTCAACAATTTTTCTCGTCCTAATTGAACAATCCAACAAGTATGAAAAACGATAAATGATAAAATGCGTAACCACATGTGAAAGTAACCACCAAATCATGTTTATAATCACATTTTTGGAGGGGAGCAAAATGAGGTCATTTAGTACACAAATCAATTCTAATGTAGCATTAACAAATTTCATCACATTATTTCTTTACTCTCTTTCTCCTTTCCTTGGTGTATGGAGTCCTAATAAATACTGCAAGAAATCGAATATCTATCGATCATTTCCTTTTTGTATTAACAATATGGTGGCCACGTCCGTCACACTACAAGTTGAGGGAACATTCTCGTTTTCCAGGCATGACATTTCAAGCTCTATGGCTCTTCCATCCATTTGAAAACAACATTTACAATACTAACCGACATGAGTTCATTATTTCAAGTTTGCAAATTACGAAATAAGATTAGAGTATTTAAAATTTTGAATTCCTCATAATTAATGCACATACCGTTCACCTCTTGGTTCCCACTAGGCAATGGACCCTCATGATTATCCGAGCACGGGTTAATGCCTCCTCCATCTAATTGGAAACAACAATTACAATACTAACGGACATGAATTCAATATTTATAGTTTGCATATTACGAAATGAGATGAATGTATTCAAAATTTTGAATTCTTCATATGTTAGTGCTAAACACACGTATAAAAAATCAAAAAAAATAAACTATAATGTTCGAGAAATACTGTATTTAATTGTCGAGAATGACAGTTCATATCGAAAGATGACTCATCTGTCGAGAATAATTGAAATGAACTGTTGGGAACGACAGTTTATCGCGACAGATGTGTTACATAATTGATCTTTCGAGAAGTTCTCGTTCGTTGAGACTTCATAACTGTACAGACTTTAATTGTGACAAATTAGATAGTTTGCTTAGAAGATTCGATACCCGTGCCTAACCTAAAAAAATATAATAAATAAAGTAGGTTGTAATGACAAATATAATACAACAATCAGCTTCTACAAACCAAATAAATTCAGAAAAATATGAAGTAAAAAATTGATTGAGCGTGAAATATTTATTTGAAAAAATATAAATAAAATCTTGTCCGTGATGCACGTGGAGATAACTTTTATGCTATACATGATTACACCT